TTATATTATATTATATTGTATTATATTATATACACGTGCGTATATTTAAAATTTTAGTTTCTATCATTTAATTTTAAAGATTAGTTCATTAAAAATATATTTTTATTTATACCATAATTATAGTGGAAAGTTGGGTAGTATGCACAAATTTTAAATCGAAACTTTTGATAGTGTCATTGTAATTCTTATAAAAATACATTCAAATATTACTTTTATAAAACATATTTTAAAATAATTAAAATTAAAAATAATCAATCAATATCAATATATCTAAACCAAACTTTCATTATTATAAGTGAACTTATAACAGCAGTAGGATATAATCAAATTTAATATATTTAATTATATTTAATAAAGAACTAATAAATTGCTCACACTAATAATATTTATGGTCAAGTTTATCATAGATAATAATGTAACACTTAATGCAATTAATGAAATATTTTATAAATATATAAATAATTTTTATTTGAATAATATTAAATATTTATTAAATTTAATAATTTAATAAAATTTATTAAATAGATGAATTTTCATTGGAATTTATGCATCAAAATATATTATTAAATAAAAATAGTTATTATAAAATTATACCCTTACATATATTAATATCGATAATGTACACTGTAGTATTTTAAAACCAAAAGATAATGCATGTTAGTACCACGCTTTTTATTATACGGACCACACTATATGCACCTTTAAGTTTATCCATAAATGAAAAAGTCTATCGCTTCAAACTAAATTAAATAGAACCAATAAGCTGGACTAGTAATAAATTGTTGAGATAATATATTTTAAATTTAAATTTTATTGTTATTAATTTAATTTTTATAGATTAAAAAATTAAATTGAATATACGCACCTTAATTAAATTTATTTATTTTTAGTTTGAATTATTGTTTGTTGACTTACTTTGTTTTGTTTTTGTTACTCAACTTAATTTGTTTTGCTAGAAGAGGTTTTTTTTTGTATTATTTTACTTCAAAAAATAATAAAAATCAAGAAAAAAGAGCGCCAAGAAATGGAATTAAAAAAAAATAGTAAGAATTGAATTTTAACGAGTTCTTAAAAAAATACAACCAGTTATTTTTCAAAATATATACTTTTTTTTTTTAAGAATGGAAGTTTCATTTGTTTTATATATGGGTTTGTTTAGGTATATGTATGTCTTATTGGATTCCTTCCTCTTTTCCTATAGAAATTATTAAGTAATCTTGAATTATATAATTTCTAACTAATCTCTATATGATAATATAATTATTATTTTCTTGAAAAACTTAAATACATATAGTAGTTGATTCGAATTATGGACACCTGGTTGTCGTGATCCTATAACGGTAATTAATGGTCAATTTCAAGTTCATAATATTAATTTTGTTTTGGTAAATTTTTAAATATTTTAACTGAATCTGAATTAATACTTATAAAAAAAAAGTTGTAAAGTCTTAAAATCTTTAATCAATATTTTAAATCATCATATTTTTCTTATAAATATAAAAAAATTACAATTACAGTAATAAGTGCGTAAACTTCAATCACCAGAACTAACCACCTAGTGGTTCATCATCATATATCATAATCATAAGATAAATCTGATTGATACAAAAGTGAATTAAACACTAATACTATTTAGCAAAAGAATAGTACTACTTTGCACAATGGTGTCCATGGAGATAATGACACAACTAAAGACCAAAATAGCCGCATAAAACAACTTATAAAAATCATTCACCAAGACAAACACATCTACACGATAACGATGACGTACACACCCTCAACAAGGACCAAACATTTCATATTTGTCTTGCATGGCAATTACAACACACAACCAGAAAACGTCATTCACATAACTATTCTTTCACGACAATAATGCATCCATCCATCGTCATGACTCATGACTCATTCATCGATCATCAACCTCTTTTTCTCTCTTCATAATATATTCCAAACTTTCCCTCACACAATGCAAGGAACACAAAAAACATGTCTAACACATCAGATTCCAATAAGATCACCCTAGTAGAAGAGTGTCGTGGCGTTCTTCACGTTTACAGCGACGGTTCCATAGTACGCTCTTCACGTCCAAGCTTCAACGTCCCCGTCAACGACGACGGCACCGTTTTCTGGAAAGATGTCGTTTTTGATCCTTCCCATGATCTTCAGCTTCGGCTCTATAAGCCAGCCGATTCAGCCGGCTCAAAACTTCCAATTTTCTTCTACTTTCACGGCGGCGGCTTCTGCATCGGCTCGCGCACTTGGCCTAACTGTCAAAACTATTGTTTTCGGCTTGCTTCTCAGCTCCAAGCCGTAGTCGTTGCCCCGGACTATCGGCTCGCTCCCGAGAATCGGCTCCCCACTGCAATTGAGGACGGCTTTGGAGCTCTAAAGTGGCTTCAAACTCAAGCCGTGAGTAATGAGCCGGACCCTTGGTTGAGCCACGTGGCTGATTTTAGCCGCATCTTCATTTCAGGTGACTCGGCTGGAGGAAACATAGCTCATCACTTGGCGGCTCGGCTTGGGTATGGCTCGCCTGAGCTGGCTCCTGTTCGAGTCAGGGGTTATGTTCTATTAGCTCCTTTTTTTGGTGGAACAATCCGAACCAGATCAGAAGTTGAAGGACCAAAAGATGCTTTTCTCAACTTAGAACTTATTGATAGGTTCGTAATTTAAATATGGTTAATTGTATTTTTTTTAACTAATGTTTACAATTTCTCAAATTTTATTGGTGTAGTATAAGCATATAAATGATGACACAATATATTGTGCTATTTCAGTAATCAACATATACATACATAATCAACTTGTCTTGGAAGCAGTGAATATGGCATGTTATGAATAAAAAGTGTCAAACATTTTGGTGTGCATATTTCAATTGTTTAGTTATTGTTTTGTTGCTAATTAGTGAAAGATGTCTGTGTGTTGTTACTAATTGAATAGGTTTTGGAGGCTTTCTATACCAGTTGGGGACACTACTGATCACCCTTTTGTGAATCCGTTTGGGCCAAATAGTGAGAGTCTCAAAGCAATTAATCTTGACCCAATTCTAGTGGTGGCTGGAGGAAGTGATCTGCTTAAAGATAGGGCAGAGGACTATGCAAGGAGGCTTAAGGAGTGGGATAAAGATGTAGAGTATGTAGAATTTGAAGGACAACAACATGGGTTCTTCACCATTGATCCCGATTCAGAACCATCCAACAAGTTGATGTTGATCATCAAACAATTCATAGAGAAGTGTTTGGGGAAAAATTGAAGGGCTTTAGACACTATTACAACTCCACATCAAGCATGTTTAGTGTAATACCTTTTACATTTACATTTTAGCTCCTACAACATTTTAGGTGCGAAAAATAACATTCTAAGCATCAAGTATGTATTGGCCATGTTAAACTCTAATTGTACTAAACGTTCCATTTTGAAGCTAATATATGTTGCAATTTCCCTAAACCTGCTGCTTCAAAGCATAAGCATTCCGACATAGTTGAAGTCCATGTTTTTTTATATTATAATGTCCCATTGCTTAAAAGTGAAAACTGGTGCCATAATTAGGAAAATTTATGTTGCGATTCATCACATTATAGCAGTGAAGGGAATCATATTACTACTTGTTAATACTCAATAGAGTGGTGACAACTTGATGTGGTTGAGGAGTGTCATACACATGCTAGTCAATAACTGAAGTAAATTCAATGACTTAACACTGAATCATTTGGTTGTTTTTCTTTCCAAATATTGTATGTGATGTAAGGGGTATTATTGTGTTATTCACACTGAATCATTTGGTTGTTAACACTAAATTCAATGACCTGTTTATATTGTATGTGATGTAAGGGGTATTATTGTGTGAATATAATTTAATGTTGCTATTACAATCTTCCATCTGAATTACATAAGACACTTCAAAGCTCAAGACTGGATAAGCAAGTAAAAATAATAATTGAGATTTAATGATACTTTTATTTTTTGATAGAGTAAAGAGTACAATGAAGAAAATAAAGAAACACGTTGGGAAGTTTGTGGGAAGTGTATGTAGGGGATCATCATAACCTTAATATTCAACCTGTTTGTGTAAGTTCAATGGGAGCACTTTTGGTAGGAAATATGTGTTATCAAGGACAATGGTCTTTGATAGGATGAGCATTGAGTATTGACTTCTGTATGTCACGTTTTACTTAAATAAAACTTTGTTTGCAATGAATTCTTTGGTTGAGTTTTGACTAATGTGATGCAACTACTCACCTCTCAATTTTTGAAAAGTTATTCCCTTAAAGATTTAAAGCTTGGAATTCTAAAATTTTGATATTGTATTGTTTCATGTGCCTACTCAATTGCTTTTAACATAATTTTCTATGAGAATTTTATATTGAGAAAAATTTTAATTTTATATTGACTAAAAATAAGCTAAACAAAAAATATATAAGTGGAGAATAATTTTTACTTTATAAACTAGTTTTGCATAATTGAGTTAGGTCCTAATCGATATTCTAAGATATATTTATGTATTGAGAAAATTTTATACTAGAAGTGAGAGAATATATTGAAAAAATATTAATATTTGTATTTTGAGCAAGTTTTCCTTGGTTGAAATCAAGCAAATGAAGAGTAAATATGTATTGTATTTCATAAAAAGATATTATTTTGGGTCGTGTCGATCTTTGAAAGTGTTTACTTCTGTAAATTGATTTTTGACGAAGTCAATTTGTTAGAATTTAGAAAGTATGAAATGAAGGGGGAAAAAAAGAGATTGCAATGGAGGAAAATAATTAAAAATGATCTATTTTTGGAATACATAAACTAATCCATTTAATTTGGTATTATGAGAGTGATTAGGATTGATTTGATTTGGTTCTTTCTTTTTTTGTGTGTAGGGATAAAATGAAAATTAATATTTTATGTAGTGACCATTTTTTATTTTATTTAATGCAACTATTTTATTTAAATAAAAATTAAAATTACATAATTATATGTTGGTTGATTTTACGGAATACAATTTGAGTAATGATTATACCGGTGGAAAAATAGAAGGAAAATAATTTTTTACTATCCAACACTGTAAAGAAATATTTGTTAGAAATGTTTTTATCCATAAACAAAATACAAAACCCATTCAAGAATTACAATTATCCTATATATATGCGTGTGATAAATATCCATAAAAAAAATTGAAAACAAGTCATAAGTGTAAGTTAAATATTACTTAACAGAGTTGCATCAATTAGCCCAATAAAATGCTACCTCCAAACATAACCATCCAATTTCATACTAAATATGATCATAAAAGTCCAGTACATGAAAAAAAAAGAATAAACTTGTGTAACAAGAAAACATCATATATATAAAAGAAGCAAAAGTTATCTATATCACCATAAATAACTCTCATCATATAAATTTCCCATAATATAACATATCATCTCAGTAACTCAACCTTAACTTATCAACAAAAATATACAATTCAATATCATAGTATATAACATCGTAACACAAGAAAACAACATATCATTTTTATGTGTCGTCGCATATTTCAACTTATGAGATCTCCAAAACAATACAAATGAGCATGTTAAGTGGTTTGACCTTACTAAACTAACAACACAATAAGATCTTTCTTTTATAGGTCAAAACAACTCGAGTTTGGCTTTCAAGCCTTAATCAACTCATAAATGGTTTCTCGGATGTCGTTATTCAAATTAGGAAAGTTGAGTATTACTACAAAGAATAAAACAACTTAAGAATGAGTTTACCACGATATTAGTATGCATCAACTAAGCCTATATGTATGTAATTAGTTAACCCATTGACTACCTCCAAATAATGTGCACATTTTCAACACTTAGTTAGATATTTTGACCTTCCACCTTATTCCTCGCTCATTGTCACTTCACAAAACAATATAGTTCACCTTTTCCCCCATATTGTGTAAACTAAAAATTCAGAAGAGACAACTTTTAAAACAATTCTCTGCTTTAAGAGTTAACTCTCTTTCTAAGGGGTTTTTATATTTGGATTCTCAGAGCATTACAACTCAAATATTGACAATGAGATCTTTCACCAAAGAAAACAACTCACTTTTCCTTGATTCTAAGTTTAACTCTCAACACATAAAACATGTCTAGGCATGGCAATCTAACCCGCCCCCGTGGGTACCCGCCCGAACCTGCCCCGATTTGGATGGGGAAAACTCGTGTTTATCGGGTTTGGATTCGGGTTTTCCCCGATTGATAAAATCGGGGCGGGGACAGGGACGAGGATGTTAATACCCACCCCGCCCCTGCCCCCGCCCCCACCCCGCCCCCACCCCCGCCCCGCTTAATAATATAATTAA